GTAATGATTAGTCTTGACGATTCGGATGTACCTGTTGAAGGCTGTAAGACCCATAGTCGCCGGAGGACAGTAAGTTGAGAAAACGTCGACAAAACCGTGAACTTGGCACATCCCGTCACCGAGGGCCCATCTTCCCACGACTAATGTCCAAAAGGTAAACGGCATTTCAAGAACGGCGCAAATGAGATCTCCGACAGATAAAGCAATGATGTACAAGTTGGTCGTGGATCTGAGTCTTGGATTGCGGTAGACTGCGGCACAAAGCATGCCATTACCGACTAAACTGCCGATATTTAACAAAAGACAAATGCTGCATTCCAGAATAACCAGACCTAAGCTTCTTGAGGGAAGATCTAGGACATCCATTTTAAACCTTTCACGATCTTCTGCTTGTGAACTCAGTTTTCATGAGTTGCGTTCCTGTTTGACAGAATATTTACCCAGGCATCATGACACAAGCTGACATTCGTCTGTAACTCCGGAACTTTAATATATCGTAATTATTCATAGCCAGAAAAACATGGCGTTTATACTAACATTCTTTCTCAGCACGTCTTTCTGAAAAATTCGTGTGAAACCAACTCGAAAAATCTTCAAAATATTGCTGAAAGATTTGAAGTAATTAAGTCTCATTCTCAGGCTTCTATTTTTAAACACCGACGCAAAGTTTTCTTTTCTATACCTCCCTATATTGGCCTAAAGAGTAACTTCAGTAACAACCAATAGAATCTCGTTGCATTATGGAATCGTGCATCCGAGGTAAGAGACCTGTGCTGGTGCTATTGGGATGGGAACAACAGGAGGAAATACAACGAGATCTTCCTCTGTTAAAGACGCTGGGCTAAAACTAATTAAATTGTTTTCCCTTTTTGGTTGATAACAGGTGATTGCATTAGGAGCAAGTCAAGTACAATACCGAATGTCAAATTTGCGATTTTAGGGGGCGATTACTGCCTTTTCAACCTTACTGTGTTAGTCTTTATTTGAGCCTTCTTCGTGGGAGATGTGAGATAAAAACGACCACAGCGTCAAAATTCAATTTAGTGAAGAGCTTTTACTCATAGGAAGCGGAAGGACCTTGAAGTAATGTCAAAAGGACAGTGGATGGTCATTTTTCTTAATTTCCGCACTGCTTCTTTAAATCTACACTATTACTGATGAAAGCATCGTAAGGAAAAAACTTTTATCTAAAGTTTCAGCTGAGTAACAAGATTTTTCCAGAAAAAAATAATTAAAAAAAAAAAAAGGTGAAGACAAAATTTTTGTCGAAAGATAAATCAATTGATTAGGCAGATTAATATGACAGACTGAACAGTAAAGGTAGCGAAAAGTTTTCACTGTTCACCAACACGGAAAAAAATAGAACTATACATCGTGAATCCTTCTGTCGCATGTTTGCTGTACTCTGATGTAAAACAAACTTCATGGTGAATTAAAATTATTCTTGACAAATACCAAGTGCAGCGTTTAGATAAGAAACACTAAAATATCAACATTTATAGATGTAAATCAATAGATGTATACCAGTTGTAATGAGGACAATAACATAAAAAATACGGCACAAATATATCTCTCGAACCACGGTAGCGCTTGAAATGTCCATTTCGACGACATCCCACAAAAAATAACGAACTGAGCTGCTTCACGTCCGCAGTTAAGCTATTTTATGTCAGTCTATGCTACGCACAAACTGACAAACAATTTTACAGTAATCAGCTGCCCAACTGACAAAAGAGCAATAACTTAAATGCACGATTTATAATTAACAATTTCCATCATTCATACGGAACCTTTGACAATTATGTTTTAGTATCTGACCAGCCATACGTCAAAAGAATTACAATGTAGCTGACCAAATAAAACCCAGCTGCTATTGCAATGTAGTCTCATTTTAACTGCGCGCATGCGGTCAAATTTGGAAAAAAAATTCTTATCTAGTATGTCCATAGTAATCATAAGGATGACCCTTGAAGATTCTCCAGTCAGTATTTAAATGGATCAGGAACTATCGCTGATAGACAATGGAATTGTTTAATAGTAAAACGATTACCGCGAAAATCTTTTAAGAGAAACTTAAGAAGTTTTACCTTCTGGGTATGTTCAATGGCTCGATTAAATATTTAAGAAAATAGACCATTTTAGAGCCAAGTGACAAGATCCCGTGTTCCTTTGCGACCCGAGTTCAATCACGTCGTCATTTAATTCTCCCAGGGCCTCTCTCCGAACAGCACAAAAGATAGACACCGGTTATCTGACAGGGAACCTGATGAAAAATGCTGAAGGCTGAAGGGTGGGAGGCCGGGAGGGAGGCCGAGGTAAGGAGTGTAACGTGCGATGCACTGGTATACCTTCCAGGCAAAAATGATGGTAAACGTTCACATGAATCAATAGCGTAGCTAGGTGGGGGGTCCTGAGGTGCTCGTGATCCCCCCTTTGTAAGCCTTTTTTTGTCATATAAAGTGAGGCACGGCGTGGAGGTCGACATGACAATCTGTCACTGTTATCGTTGACAGTCCCCTTCACGACTAACCCCCACGTACCGGAAGTTCATGCCATACTGATGTACTGAACCTTTCACTCACTCTAACGAAGCTTCATGTCGCCATCTCAGAGCTCGTCTCTCGACTTGCTGGTAGATCTCTCATTAAGAATGCTACTTAGAGTGCTGTTCAACAGTTTATGGCGACTTTCTTTAACTGCATCTGCCGCCTTGTATACCAACCTCATGAACTCGTCCACATTGAAGGCATAATTTGTAAATTTAGCATGAGCTCCTAAGGTTGGATGATGTCCCTGTTAAAATAAGCATCATATTTATTTGATTTAACCAAAATACATTTCAAAATCTTCTCCTTCTGGTGCTCTACATTTTGAACTACAGGGAAACCCACATGTGAGCTCCACCCTTGTCATATAACCGGTTCTAGTCTATGCCACACTCCCGGTCAGTACCTCACCGACAGGCTCACGTGGGCTCATCTGACCAAGCACCTCACAGGCTTCTGACGTAGTCTGCGAGAGTCGACCTGGCCCCCTTAGCTCACTAGCGGGAGGTCTACGAGGGGTCTGGTACTAAAAACGAAATAATTTTTTGTGCTAGACCGCTCGAAGATCTCAAGCGGGCTTCTGGAACAGGGTAACATGTTCCACTTGTGACAGGTGTCCTGCACACTGCTAACATCAGCAATGTTCAAAGCCTCTTGGGCGGAGATGTACCTCCAGAAATGGTAAATCTTTACCGGGCTAGTTCGTCGAACAAGGAACAATTTCCTAACATCTGTGAAACCAGGCTGAGTCAAAGAAACCAGTGTGGCATGTTACTCACCTCGTCTTCCTGATAAAGCTTCTCGTTGTGTTCCCACGTGATGTAATTGACGCCCCTGTTAAAACAAAAAAAGGTCTTTAAAACAAAATTATACATAAGTGCAGTTACAGACATATTTCATGGTGATCTTACCTTAGTCTTGCTAAGTCACTGTAACACTCAGGGTCTTCGGTATTATACCTAAATACAAATCAATTTTGAAGTTTTTTAGGCATTTTTCTGTACTAGCAACGCTGGATCGTGAACACCAGTATAGGGCAGACTTTTTGTATGAGGGGCGAACACGTATTCTGAGCCTTTCCTTGGTCAAATTTAATTTTAAGTACCTTATCATAAGGGCAGAACCTCCGAGTGAACACATGTAGCTGTCAGCCTGCAAAGTATTTTGGTGTCGCTCCTGATTAAGGGGTGGTGTTAAACTTTCTAAGGCAATCAGAAAGCGCAGCAAAGAGAAGCAGATACATAACGAAACTACTGTAGATTGAAACTCATTTTTAATTGCTTGACACAAACACTTTAACATAGGGAGCAGAGTAACAGTCACTTTTGATTTAGTTGCAAAAATTGGTATTTCCACAAGGGAACATCAACAGGTTGTAAGGACAGCGATTGCATGTACATTATGTTGCGCTACGTACAGTTCAAAAAGTACTGCCCAATCCGGTAAAAACAGCGCATGCGCGAGACCTGCTCCATGCATTCCAATAAATATGTCGGAATTGTGCGTTATCTGAAAAAAATAAACAAACAAAAAACAAAACTATCTTGATGATAATAACGAGAATGACGATGATGATGACGATGAAGAAAATGATAAAGATGATTATCATGATGACAACAATTGGGAGAGTGATAATGAAGATTTTTTCAATCTACTAGTATTTGTAAAGTTCTTAGATTCTTCTCAGTAGTAGCTTTTCTGCCTTTAGGCTCATAATTTACTACATCTGTAGTTCATCCAAGTTTATGTGGCTTAAAATGATGAGGACTATTGCCTCTCCCCCAGAATGGGGTGGCAGTCTATCACAGGTTACTTTTACAGTTTAACAATATTCATTTACACTGCAGTTGGAGAGAGAAATGTAACTGATAAAACTTAAAGTTCACACACCTTTAATTGTTCCAAGAATGGAATTTTCCTACAAGGAAAAAATCCCAGCAAAACAAATTACTAAAATGTAATCACAGTATTAAACTATGCTAGAGAAAAATGGCAATTATGACAATTTAGTTGAAGCATCTTACCAAGTGTAATCAACAACTTTCACTTTAAACATTGGAACATTCATCATTGCACCCACGAGCTGCATGTTTGAAACAATACAAATTGTGAAAGAAAAAGAAATTCTGAATACTTTTAACAGGAGTCAACCTAAAACTTTTACAAGTATTAGTTCCAGTGCTCTACCAACTGTGCTTTATGAGACTTTTGTTTACAAGGCTGCTCTTCTAGGATCACTTGTATTAACAACTGAACTGATAAAATGGATAATATACATGAAAAGTGAAGAAATGTTCATAGTAGGTCATTAGTGCACAGCAAAAAATTCCATATCAAGATATAAGCAGTAAGTGGTCCCTGTACAATTAATAGCATGATCCTTATAGCAAGCATTTACTTGGAAAGTAGCAGTGTTACAGCACAAGTATTCCAGAAAAACAAGTTCAATTCCTTCATACCTCATCTCTATTTAGAATTCTGCGATACTTTGTGCTTCGATCCAACAGTGTTATTCTAAATTCATCTTCCTAAAAAATTGAAAATGAACATTGAATCAATAAATCATAAAAAACACAAAATAAACAAAATAATGTCAAATAATTCAAAATTGGATACAAAAAAATGCCACAGGTAAATAAACCTCTAGATTACCTGATTTTAAATGCATGCACAGCTTACTCACTCTATGATTGTCTTGTATTACACTGAGGCGATGTAGCATATGCTCTGAAAAAGCTTTAAAAAGACCGCTTCCAACACAGCTTGGAACCTGTAAGATTGTTAAACATATCTGTTGTAAATGTTAACAGTGAATAGTTTAGAGTCATGTAAATATTCCCTTAAAAGTATTTTAATTATTGTAGGTTTACTTTACCAATGGCATGTTGAAGTATAGCCCACGAATCATTCTTGGGTTGAATGAAAACACAGCATCTTTGAAACAAACCTATGAAAAAAAAAACATTGACACCTGGCAGTCAATATAAACCCCTTAACTATCATGAGTGACCAAGACAGAATTTTTTCTTACAGGACCAATACAATACCAAGCAGACAAGTGACAAGAATAAAAAAGAATATTAAGAATTAACTAGGGGGTTATTAAGTGATCCAATACCAAATTCTACAAACTAACATCACAAGAATTATATGGCAGACAGTAAGGAGAATTACTAATGAGATCTTGGGAGTTGAAGGGTTAAGTCAATTTCCTCTCTTACATGTCATGTTAAAATGTTACTTGCTTGTTCTTCAATTTCATGTTATATCATACTCACCCGTTTTCCAGCATATTCACTTAACCGTATAATGCGATGCTGGGTAAATGCCTTCCATGTTTCAGAGAAGAGATCGCGGTATGTAAGAGAACTCTAAAACAACAAGATCATACAAGGGAAATTAACATTGCTCTTTTTAGAAAGGGCCTACATGCACTCAGATTTTAGTTAATTTTTATCTAAAGTATGTGTTTTGTATTGCATCAGAATTTATCAAAAGGTGTGGTTACAAATACAATACAAATAATGTCTTACCGTGTCCCACATGAGAATATTGATATCAGTGCTAAGACTTCCATTCATGTGCTGAGTTACATAAAGGTTCACAAAGTCACAAAAATGGTGATACAAGTTGATACCTGAAATCATCAAATAAAAACAATTTCACCGAAATACCAAAGCTTATGAAACTGGTATTTAAGTATAATTAAGTGTGTTGACTATCAATTGACCATTTCACTCCCACAGGTGATTTACATGTAACTTCTCCCTAGAGCATTCAACATTATCCAGCAAACAGGTAATGAGAATACTTAAACTTATCAGGTTAAAGTTATCTTGATCTAACATCAAATTCTTGTATCTAATTCAAAAGGAAATGTCTAGCAGCTACAGGGGAAAATTAACAATCAGATCTTGGTAGTTTAAGGGTTAGACAACATCATAGTAAAGGATTTAAATCCTGGACCTTTTTTCTTGAATGGAAAAAACTATTAATCGTTAATTATAAGAGTTAAACTAACTCAATTATACATAAATTATCTTTTAAGGATCAGGATCTTCAGTGAATATACCAGTAGAGTTAACAGCAGTCTATAAACTCACTGTAGGTCCATGATAAGCTACAGTTTGCTTTCCGAAGCACAAAATTTATATTTCATAGTTAATACATAACTGCACAGTCTAGTGTGGCATGATTACTTTAACAGGTTCAACACAATGTGTACCTGCATCCAATTTCATAAAAACAGTCGGTCTATTCACTATAACATCACAAAGTCCAGCCTGTAAGGGTTTAACAGAAAGTGATGTAAAGTGCTCTAGTTCAGCAAACCTGTAGTTAAACAAAAAATTGAACAGTGATTAACCCTTTAAATCTCAAAAGTGATTAACATGTAATTTCTCCAAATAATATCCAGACATCATTCAGCAGACAGGTAATGAGAATACTCAAACTAATCAGGGAGAAGTTGTTATCATGATCTAACACTGAATTATTGTCACCAATTTATTGGGAAATAATTAGCAACTAGAGTGGAGAATGAACAACCAGATCTTGAGAGGTAAAGGGTTCACAATAAATGCAATTCTACCACAACCTGGTTTTCCTTTACTCACCATGACTGCAGAGGACTTTTGTTTTTATTCTGATTCTTGTGTAAGTCTTTCTTAAAATGACAGTGACCTCCAACCTCCCCCTCTTTCAACACATCTTCGCGAAACCTGAATCATCATACAAAACAATAATAAAAAATTGGTTTGTCATAACTCAATCTTTAGTGGTCCATACAAAAAATTCAAGGTTATCTTCATCTAAAGGGGCTAAGATACTAAAAATATAGAGATCATTATTTGACCTTTCTATGATAATGAAGTCGTGAATTGAACCTCAATGGTAAGCTGTAACAAACCTGTCATTGGTAGCATCTGGGTTAAAATTTTTTAAATCAAAATATATGTTTGTTGCATGGCAGTACCACAGATTAGCAGTGCAGGTCAATGATGAATCTCCCTATAAATCAATTATGATAAACATAAATAATGGTGATAAATAGTTAAATTAAAGTCAAAGACTTCTCTGTAATGTTTTACCAAAAACAAAAATACATTCAAGTTATACTTCTACTAAACCTTAATCAATTTTGAAGCAAAACTTTATGATGTACTAATTTAATTGAACCCATACCAGCTCCTTGGGCTGACACAATTCCATAACTTGACTTTTCATTTTCTTGATGTAACCAAAGTCTCCTTGTTCCCAAAACAACTGGACTTGATCCTCCATAGTTTTAGCCCTTAATTAAAATAATTCTATGATGTTACAAGTGAATAAGCTGCAATATATTAAAAAAAAAAATATCATTTGATCTAGAGTACTTCCCAAAAGGATAAATATTGAGTAAAATCAAAACTATAGCATGCAGTCATTCTATTCAATATGACCACTTCCGGAGACTTTAGCCCTTTACACCCAAAACATCATTATGTATATTCTCTATACTGTTCTCTACATATTTCTTAAGGTGCTGACAAAGAGAATTTGTTTAACAGTAACGAATATCTTCAGTTGTTGATCATTTCCTTTATTCTCATGACCTTAATGTTTTGATTCAGAGGTGACATGTAGGGAGAAATTAGATGTTAGTCTGATTCTTAGGGTTAAAAGGGTTAAGTTTGAAGATCTTCAAAGATAACCAAAGTAACCCAGGCTGTATAGACAACTACTTGGGAAGATGATCCACAAAAGAATTTCAGAATTTGAGGTCTTCAGTTCATGTAGATGGACTTTGTTTTTCCTTGATATCAGTTGGAAAGACATTGTTTTTATAATCCTAAGGTGGCTCATGCAGAAATTTCCAATTTATCTCCAACAAAGTGTTCTTTTCAAATCCACAACTTATTTTGAACAACCGAGAAAGACAGTTGGGAGACAAACACCCTGAACTGACTCACTCCTCAAGAACTGACTAAAAGTTATATTTACCCTAGTGACATTCAATATCAAAATTATGTACTTATACTTGCCAAGGCTGATGAAGATGAATACAGCGTGGCTTGGAAAACTGATTCAGTGGATTACAATCATCTTCATATCCCCAACATGGCATGTTTTTTGACTCTCCATCCTTAGAATAAAATTTCAGTTACATTTAGCATTAATACAAAAATACTTGCTTAATATATAAAACACTTTCTTAACACTTGTTTCCTGGTTAATGAAATTCAGCTCAACAAGAATTTCTAGAGAACAAATTATCATTTCATATAGAACTTAGGGGAACTTCAAATAGGATCAAAGGCACTGCTTGCATTGCTGGAAAATGCAAACAATAACAACAAAAAACCCAAAATGAACACGGTTTTGGCTATATATCTGATAGGTGAGAAAAATTGCCAATAGAGTAGCGCCCGTGCAATATACTTTGGACGTCCGATTTAAAATTGCTTGTATACCTAATTGTGATGACATCTGAAGAGTAAGCTATGGTTGGCCACAGGCTAGTAACTCATACAGTTAAATCTTCATCACACGTACATCACACTCAGTTGGGCAACTTTTTTAGCTAAATATTTACCTGGCAAGCTCCATTGCTGCAGAGTCCCATTTTACCGGCTTTCTTCCTCAGGAAATAAGGAATATGGCTTGGTGGAACGTTAACATTTCGGAGATCCCAGACGGAAGCAACTTTACTGAAGTCCATAAATAGAATGAACATCACAAGTGCTGTGACAGAGGCCTTCATTCTGAAACTAGGTGACAAAAAGTGGAGCAAATTTAGATATATTTTCAATGTAACCTAGCCAGACATCTTTTCAGACATTTTGCTGCCCTGCAGAACCACTATTTTACACTGCATTTTATAAAGAAGGCCGATTATTCTAG